GTCTTTCTAAATTTTATTATATAATAATATTGTTTTCTTGGTATTATATTAGCTTTGATATATCATTAGAAAGTTCATAAATTTTGACCTTTTTTTTTAAATTTAAAACATCTGATTATTGTGCTTAAAGCTTCAAAAATAAATCATGAGATCATTCAAAATTTTATTTTAAAACATTCAATTTTTTGCTATGATTCCGATCAAATTACAGTTATGATGAAATACAAATAGTATATTTTGATTTGATTTAGAAGCTAAGTATTATATAAATAAATATAAAAATTAGATTTTGGATATTATAAACACATAATAATTTTAATTTGGTGGCACGCGGCACGCATGTAAATCTCGCTAAAAGTCAATAAACCTTTTAAAAGTGGAAGGAGAGCAGATACCGGAAAAGAAGAGCAGATCTCAGCCATGGCGATTCCGACGAACCAGGTGAAGAAGGAGACGACAACCCATCCCCAGACTAAGCTAGCTGGGCCTGCATATAGTAAGCTCGGCCCGTAGAGAGGTATTCCGGCGAACATAGTCACCGTCGAGAACGTTATTGCAAGGCTCTTGAACAGAGTCTGTAAGAGGACGACGGAGATTAGTCAAGTAACAGTAATAAATCAAAAGAAAGAACAAACAAATTAATTTTCTTAAAAATAATTCAGAAACATCTTTGAACAGAGTCTGATCAAGAATTACTATACCATCTCTCTTCTGAGCTCCTGCTTGTAGCCGAGCTCGTTGAGCCGCTTCTCCCCTGAATCCATTTTCTCTGCAGTTGAAGCAGCTCTCTCTCTCTCTCTCTCTCTCTCCCCTTCAGTTTTAAGTTCAAAGAGGCGAGTGCATAAGTGTTGAATAAATATTATTTTAGGGGATTTAAAATTAATATTGAAAAAAGTGGAAATTTGTGCATTTCATACCTAAACTTAATTATATACTTACATAATGTTTAAAGATTTTAAATCCATAGCCCATCACAACTTCACACACATTAGCACGATAAATTATTCTGTGCGGACACCGAACGATCCGGAGACCAACCAGAACGCATCACATCATCTAGCATCAAGCAAAAAAATGATGTGGCACGTTCTGATTGGTCTTCGGTCGGACATCATTCGGTGTCTGCACATAATAATTTTTTCATTTGCACACAATCAAGTGTCATCACCATCTTTGCATACCTTAAATTCAATCTCCTCATCTCCACTCCGTCGATCTCGTCGCAGCCTATGCATTTTATCGATCTTGACGTAATGCCAACATGTTGTAACCCTATTTGTTTAATTCCTAACACCCTCTTCCATGAAGCATAAGGATGTCATGATAAAACTCACTAGGGTAATATATAGATGAGAATGAAGAGATTATTACATGTTGAGTTTGGATGTAAGAAGCGTCTGGATTTTGTTATCGTACACATCAAATACACAGTTTTATAAAAATCTATGTATTTACTGTGTACCATAACAAATCCGAACGATCTAAACTCCACGTGTAATAATCTCTCCTAAAAGAGAATGACACGGAAAAAGGAAATCTCAAAAGGGGGAAAAGGACAACATTGGAAAAAGTTAAGTTGCGACAATGCTTATTATGGCAAGGCTAGTAGAAGTTAAGAAAGATGTGTTAGATTATATAAATAATAATAATTATTATGTATTAAATATATAAATGAGAAATTTTTTTAGTACTATTAATTAAAATTTTCAATTTACTTAAAAAAATTTGTTCAAGGTGGATTTTCACTCTATTAGCTTTATTTTAATATTAATTTATTATTAATTATTCATATATTACTAAATTCAGAAAATTTGAGATCCTTAATTCCTACTTAATTTTTTAAATCAAAATATCATAATATAAAATCTTTTTTCTTTTTTTTTTTTGAAAAAGAGAACAAATCATATTAACATAATTTAATAATCAATCAAAATTTCTATAAAAATATAAAACAATATTTTGAATTATTTTACCACAATATTAAACATTTAGCTATTTTCAAAATATTTTTAATTACAAGTTTAGAGTACATTACCATTGATGAATGGAGTTTCATTAATTTTTTTTATGATAAAAACAGAAGAAGTCACTTTTAACAAATGTTAAATCATTTAAAAGTCCATCTTTAATAATTTTCATCGTCGTGATTGCGGAGGTTCGTAAGCTTTGGCTACCGAGAACTTCAAATTAAAGACCTATTAATTGATAATTGATAGTCAATCTCTCAATTAATAGATCAAAATGAGGTGCATGAAAAATAGTCTATATATGATGGTCACAACAGACATAAATATTCTATTCGGTCACCGAATAGTTCAGAAAAAAATTAGAACGCGTCATGGCAACCTGATAGTTACTGAGGCACCGAGCGGTACACAACAAAAAATGGCATAGTACATTCTCATTCCCTTCTGAACGCCGTTTGATGACCGCACAGAATAATTTCTCCGCAACAACACACTTTACCTTACTCAAAATAGATCATTAACCATAGCTTCCTACCCTTGAAACTGTATGCTCTGTAATAAACTAACATTTGTAGCATTTCAAAAGCTATGTACTTTTTTTTGTCGCATTACATAATTTTCTTTTCGTCATTTCTTCTTAAGAAAATTGATGTTCTATTATTTAGTTATTTTCCATGTTATCAGTATCAACTGGCATCTGGCAACAATTTATAGCGAAGAAAGTTTCAGTACTATATCAGTAAATATCCAAAGTGGAAGCCGGTTCTAATCAATCTATGTGATTTTTTTTTTTTAATTACAAGATGGCACACTACTTGAATAAAATCCTAATCAATTAGTGATAAGGATAGCCACAAATATTTTGCAATGTGTTAATGTGAGTGCCAATGTAGAAGATGTTGTTGTCACTGTTATCGTCTTCATCATCATCGCCATCGCAGTCTTACGCGGTCATTATTATCAACAATATCATCATCATTGTCAATAATACAGACACCACATTGCCTATAAGTTTAATGTATACCATCGGCACCAATATTGATGCATGTTGACTTTGTTGTATATAAACAATTTCTTTGTTTGAACATTTTCTAAGGCTTCGTTTGGGACGGCTTTATTACTGTTTTTTAAAACCGTTTTTTAATAGAAAAAATAAAATTTTCTACTAGAAAGTTACTTTAAAAAATAATAAGAAAATAATCTCAAACGAAGTCTAAATATGAACATTTTCTAAAGAAATCTTTAGCCAAGACAAAATTTTCTTTCAAATAAATTTCCTCGGTTTTCTGCAGCAGCCCAAAAAGCGGCTATGGCTGACCGGCTGACAGAAAAATCCAAATTTTGTGCCGCGCTAAAACTTTTCAACATAATATTAATATTTACTTTTAGCGCTTTAACTGAAGGCCACTCAAATAATTTAAGAATTTGAAATTTTAGAATAATCAAGTTTCAAAATAATAACTGTAGAAGAGGAAACTTGATGGATGTTCTGTTAATTGAGAAGGCTGAAATATTTTATTAACTCATAACTTAACTATTGATATATTATGAAACCTTAGTTAATCAAATATTTACCCATTTTTTATTTTATTTAATAAATTTTGTATTATTAAAAATTAATTATTTAATACTTTCTTATTTAGTTTATTTATTTGGCCAAACTAAACCATCCAGCATTAATTTTTAGATAATTTTATTATTGCTTATTAAAACAACTTTTTATTATAAAAATTAAATTTTGTACTAAAAATTTACTTTAATAAACAATAAAAAAATCTTCCTAAATAAAA